CCCAGGTATGATCCTTACATATAGTAATTGACCAATAATATGTGATTGCAAATGTTTTTAGAAGTGTTATTCTTGTATTTCAGTGTTCTTAACTCCTTCAATGAAATGTCTTCTATTCTGGCTTATTCCTCTATCACTTTACTAAAATTCTTTTTGAAAAGCCTATAAGTGATCAACATTGTGCCAGATTAAAATCATTATTTTCTATTTTTATTTTATTTGACCTCTTTGAAAACTGCCTACCCCTTTAGTTCAGAAAACTTTGCTTTTAGACTTCTATGCATCACATTCTACTGCTTTTCTCCTACCTCTTGGTTCTTTGCTGCATTTTCTTTCAAACCCACCTCTAAACATAGAGGTCTTCAGGGTTTGATTTTGATCCTTCTGCTCTGGATATATTTTTTTCTTATATGACCTCATCAGCCCATGGCTTTAAATAATACATATATTTTGATGACTCCAAAATATGTCTCAAATCTAAACAGAGACTCCAAATTTATAAGCTTATAAGTCCAAATCCTACCTGGTATCCCTTCCATCTCTTATAGGCACCTTAACTTTTATGTACCCTAAACAGAGTTCTTGATAATCCCACCAAAGATACTCTCCGTCTGTCCTTCTTTCCTCCTATATTAGTGCACAGCACCAATATCCTACCAGTTATTCAATATTAAAGACTATAATTCATCTTTTCATTCATCTTTTTACTTATCCACTTCAATCAAACCATCTGCATGTTCTATCAGTTCAGCTTTTCAAATGCATTTTGAATTCATCAAATTTTCTCCATTCCTACCACTATGACTTTATACAAGCATTTCTTGCAGACTACTATAATAAGTTTCTAACTTTTTATCTTTCCCTTCTGCAATCCAGTTTATTCAAGACATTCAAGAGATGTGACTTCTGTTTTAGAGTCATGAGTTTTTCAACCTAGTAACACCCTGGGTCTTAGAATCCTAAAATCATATAATGCAAGACCTGAAAAATTTACGTATCACTTAATGTATATATTGTATTAATAAGGATAGTCTAGGTTATGATACAGTAATAAAAAAAGTTTCTAGTCTCAAAAGCCTAAAGCAACAAATTATTATTTAATGCTCAAACTGCACAATCACACAGGGACACTGAGAGCTCGGCCCTGAGCCATCTACATTCCAGCTCTGGTACTAATGCAGCCACTACCTGAAATCTTGCCAGTCCTATGGATGAGGGAAAGAAATCTAAAGAAAAATACATACTGTCTTAACAATTTCCTCAAAAGTGATGTACATCACTCTCAATCAATTTCTCTGGCTAAGGCAAGTTGCACAGCCATGCATAAATTGAAAAGGAGTAGGACAGTACTTCTAGGTGCCTAAATGGAAAACCAAAAATATTCAGTGTATATTGCTAATGACTAACCTTCTCTTATATTTTACAGATGAAGAAGTTATAACCTAGAGAAACTATGTTAGTTGCAACATCAAGAAACTGATTTACATCAAAGCCAAGACTAAAACATTGTCTCGAACTCACTATTCAGTGCTTTCCCTAATAAGGAACTGAGGTCTGCTTGTTCTCTATACCAAGACACACTTACGTGTCTTAACATCAATATTTTACTTAGTTAAATAGTATCAACCTCCTGTATTGAAATATTTTTATTCCTTTGCCAAAAAAAAAAAAACAAAACAACAAAGCATACACAGTTTAAAGAGTCATGAGTTCCTGCAATCTCACTGATGATGTTCTGGCAAGATGCCTCAGTGCCAAAATACTTAAAATCTTTCTGACTTGGCTGTTCTCATTTCTAGCAAAACTAAATTATGTTTTATGCTAGTGATTCTAAACACAATGACTTAAGAAATATCAAGAAGATAAGCAAAAAAAGCATGTAAACTAAGCATTGTCTATTAAATCCATTAGAAATGTCACAGCAAGAACTCCAACTAACAAAGGCTTAGGGAAGTTTGTTTTATCCTCATAAAAAGTATGAAGGTTATGACTACTGGCATTGGTTTTGCAACCCATGGATCTCTTGGTCTTTTCTTATGGACACAAGAGGGCTGTGACTGCTCCATGCATTCTACCTATGATCATTCTAGAAAACAAGGAGAGGATGAAGCCAGCTGAGACTTCACTTTTTATTAGAGAACCAAAAGCTTTCCCAGAATCAATACCCATTTCCTTTATTCCAGCAGACTATTATTTAGGTTCCATTTGCCAGGACTGGAGTTACATGGCCACCCCAAGCCTCAAGGGAGACTGGGAAAATAGGAAATATTTTCATTTATTGGTCAAACCTGATGCTGCCTTGAATGGAATAAGGGTTCTGTTGGCAAGGAATGACATGGGGGTGGGAGGAGGTAGGAATGGAGATTGAGTAAGCAACTAATGTTAATATCTTTCTCATGTTAATGTCTTTCTCATTCATTGATTTAATAAAAGGTAGCTTTGAAATAATTTATTATTTTTAAAGTTTACTAGAAATTAGTGTGAATAAACACAATATATATTTACCACTGAAGTCATAGTAGTAATGCTATATATCTTCACAATTGGTGAAATTAAAAAATACAGTCATATGCTGCATAATGACGTTTCAGTCAATGGTGAACTGCCTACACAACAGTGGTCTCATAATATTATAATATCATACTTTTACTGTGTTTAGATAGATGAATACCATTGTTACAAATGCCTACAGTACTCAGCACAATAACATGCTGTGCAAATTTGTAGCCTAGGAGCAATAGTCTGTGTCATATAGCCTAGAAGTGTGATAGGTTATACCATCTACATTTGTGTAAGTACACTATGATGTTTGCACAGTGACAAAATAGCCTAATGCCACATTTCTTAGAATGCATCCCTGTCATTAAGTGGCACTGGACTTTATAAGAAAGCTATCACAATAAGTTCTGCTTTAATAATACCAATCTTGTTGGAGCACAAATTTGCTCCAACAAGAATGGTATATAGGAACTGTTTGGACATAACACAATTTCACATTTGCTTGTGTGTGATTTTGTCTACTTGAAACACTAAGTGAATGCAGAAAACTGTATCTAGATGACCTGAGCCCCATAAGAACACACAAAACTCTCACACATACATCCCTCAGACACCAGTTCACTGCCTGTGTTATGAGCCACACCCATCCACATATGATGTTATGCATTTACCTCTGGTTTCAAATAATTCCTCTTCCACCATCTCACAATAGCAAATAAGCTGTGGCCTGAGGACCACTCCCACAAGCAAATGCCAGGTCTTTGTCAGAATAAAAGGTCATATTTACTATAGTATTTATGCATTTCTTTAACATTTATCATGTGTAAATTCATGCTACCATTTTCATTAGATTTCTGTCTGGTTTTTATGGATGACTGACTAAATTTTGTGCCCCTAACCTTATACTATTCATTAAGTTGTGTAGTACTATTCATTAAGTCATGTAGTATTAATTGCACAATTTTGCAGTGGCACTATTTATAAATAATATACCTATGATAATTGTCAGGTCTGTGTGTGTATGTATGTGTGTGTGTGTGCATATTTTACATATATACACATATATATTCATACATATATAATATTGGAAAACAATTGAGGCACTTTGGGCATAAATCACAAAAGCTTTTAAATCCTAGAAAGAAATATAACTTTAAAAGTATTTATTAAATGTTCTTGGGAGGGTTTGTTTAAAAAAAGACTATCAATTATATTAAATAAAAACCATTCAACATGCCAAGCTATATATAGATGTCTCTACAGTAGGTGAAGATTTGTCATTTATCTTTTAAGATAATTATAAAAATTGTATTCAGCCCACACATCCTGAGTTGGGAAATGGTTTTTATGTCTTTTTCCTCATTTATAAATCATGCATAACAGGGGTTAACCAGGATTCAGAATGGGCACACAAAGCTGAATTTTGGTGGTCCCTTTATAATAGAAGGGAATGAATCTGTTTTCCTCCTTAGGGTCTCTCTTCTCTTTAATGAGGGCATACAAAACACTCAATACATTCCCAGAGCTTCTGAGAACTTTCCCCTTGAGAAATCTCAGTGAATATGAGGAAAAACAACTTCAAAAAAAAATCAGTGAGGGACCTATCACTATTTGTCCTTCTTTCTTTCAATCCTTGCTGCCATCCTTTCTACTTTCTACATGTCTCTTCAGTTTCAAACATTTTTCCTCTTCTTATATTCTCAAGGTGAGCTGCCCTTTTCTGGTACTACATCTGTAAAAGGGTCATGGAAAAGCTCTCACAAAAATCAAACCCTGACACAGTGCTTATTTTCCTAAGGACCAGGACATAGAAGGACAGGGTGGGGCCATGAAAGGATTAATTTCAGGCAAGGGCAACGTGTAGAGAGTGAGAAATTCTGAAAGACTGTAGGCCTCTGTGGGCATTCCCCTCCACTTCTTTTGCCTGCTGTCAGAATTCTTACTTTCTCAGGAATGGGGATCAGAGTTTGGCAGGTAAGTTTTTAGTAAATAATCTCTGAATGTTTGACATTTAAAGGTGAAAGCATTACTTTGAGTGCTCACAGTAATTATTAAAAATGATGCTTTGTCTACTGCTGTGATGCAAATTCAAATTCCCATAGCCCTGCACAGGCTCCATGGGTCACACATGAATGACTCTAGCCAAAAGCCACACAAGCCCCAGTCTGCCTCCAGACACCAGATCACAGTGCAGTGTCCTGAGTGTCCCTGTACACATCCAAAGGCACACATTAAACCCATAAGCTGCAGGTTACACTAACGTGTACTTCCTTCTTCCCTACCTCACCTTGTTACTTTCCTTTTCCCCAACCCCCAGCACTCACCCCACACAATGGGATTTTTGTTTGCTTCAGTAGCATGTGACAGCACAGTCTCTACTTTGCCTAGCTCTGTGCTGCAGGTCTCTCAGGTAACAGGTGGCAGCTTCCCCTGTTGGATTCTAGATATAAAAAAGAATGATCTCATAGGGGTGGAGCTCTTGTACTCCATAGAGGTGGCAGTCACAGCCAGGTTGCCCTGGAGTGAAGCAGTTTAGTTAGAAGGGGCAGTTAAGCGCCTCACTCTAGTGGCTTTAACCCTCACCTGAGGTATCTTAGCAACCATCCATTGCCCACAGGCCTCTAAGGTTTGTCTTTACCTCAGATGGAACCCAAAGAAGTCATTGGGAAGGAAAACATAGGCACCAAGAAAAAGAATCTGAACTTCCTGAGGCCCAGACTCTATATGCTGGAAAGAAGGAAGACTGACACTGTGGTTGAGAGCAATGTTTCTGAGGACCGTTCTGGTACCTTGAGGAGGAGCCAGTCTGACAGGACCGAATACAACCAGAAATTACAAGGTAACCAGAAAGAAATCAATTGTCCCATGCTACTGCTCTCCCAGTTCTGTTTCTGCTATTCTTCCATTTGCACTCAAAGCAGAGAAGAAAATCTGATGCCACCTCTGCTTCCCACAAAATAGGAAAATGAAAGTAAATGTGACTTGTATATTATAGGGAAAATGTTCTTATGTGATTCAATAGTGAAAGAGACAATTCTGAATTACTCTTAATATTGCTGTGTGCGTGCGTGTGTGTGTGTGTGTGTGTGTGTGTGTGTGTGTGTGTGTTTCTGTTCTCTGGTGAAGGTCCCTTTTTCTTCTTTCTTCCCCACCCAGCTCAAGAAGTGGAAAGTACTAGAAATCAAATCAAATGATTTAGAAACCTACAAAAGATAGTTTATCTTAATAGGTAGGTGTGAGATGTCACACTGTGAGATCTATCTAGGTAATTTTGCTGCTCTATGATTGTGGTTATATTAAATAGGGGCATGAAAATATAATTGTATCCATGAAAAAAGTAATGTTATAAACACTGGGATGGTATAACAGGCTTTGCTGAAAATCACTTAGGTGATCATTCCCTTAGAGTGAATCGAATAGCACCCACATATGGTAAGAAATGTTTTGCATGGTCTTTTTGAATGAGTTTTTAGGAAATAACTTCCGTTTGTTTAATGGGGGTCCTAAGATAATTTGACTCAGTTATTATAGCACATTCTTTGTTTCAGACCTTGAACTTCTATCCCTTCCCATCTACCCTCTCTTTTTTTCCTCCTTTTCTCCTGAAGGTCATTTGTTCTAGTAAAACTTCATTTTGATATTGATATTGATATTGATATTGGGCAGTATTTTAAGTCTCCACTGAAGTACCTGTTATGTAATCCTCCAGAACCTACCCCTCCTGCTTTTAGCACATGGTGTGTTTGAACTCTCATCATCCCACTGTGAGCTGTCATTTTGGATTTTAAAACTGTGATGAGGTTAGAAAGACCAATGAGACATGCTTGCACTTAGCAGATCTCTTTCTTCAACTATGAGCTTCAACTTGGTAATGCAAATTAATTAAGTTAAATTAAATTAAGTATATCTAAATTAAATCTTTAAAAATTATTACTCTGAGTTAATGTGCTTAAAAAAACTTCTAGTAGCTCAGCGCTAAACTGTAGAGTCAGTCTTATCCTTAAATAATTTTTTTAACAGGGGAAGCTGTTTGATCTTTGGAATTAATTTTTCTCAAGGCAAAGGATGCATTGGAAGAAATGTACATTTAAAAGTAATACACAGTTGGTTTCCAATTATGGCTCTTCAGCTTACTATCTACAAGATTTTGAGAAAATTACTTTAAAGCTCTGAGCCTCAATTTTCCTATCTGTGAAAGTGGGTCTATTTAGTATTGTTAGGAGAATGAAATTAGATAATTTCATAAAACATCTAGTAATATATTGACTGACACATGGTATATGATGAAATAAAAAGTAATTATTTTTAATCTTAGGAAAAATAGATACCATAATAATAAAATAGGACTTGCCCTCCCTTAATTCAAATCATATACCTTATTAATCTTTTTCAACTATTTTTTGACAAAGAGACCACACCTAGCAATTCAGGAAAGGCCCATTGCTTTACCCCTAATAATATGTTTCTTGTGTCTGAGTTTCACTAATTCAGGATCATTCTGATTCAGAGTTTCCATTAACAAAATAAAAATAGAAAATAATTTTTGCTACTCATAAATTTTTACTACTCACTTTCTAAATTTACCTATAAAAATAGTTCTATGGCCACAAGATATAGCAGATGTGAGTTAGCTACTTTACAGAAGACCTCAGGCTTTTTAGACATTTCATTTGATTTGTGATTTTCCTATGCTCTGTTGGATTCTGTCTTTGAAGGTGGAAGGTAAAACTCAGAAGTTAACCCATGCTCCTAGAATTGTCTGTGCTTGACAAAAATCACCAAGGAGTATAGAGGAGCACATAAACTGTAAAGATAGGCTGGCCTCTGTAAATAACATTTTTTTTTAGATATAACTCTTAAGAAAATCTAAGTCAGCTTATCTAATGGCTAATAGAGCTTTTAGCATGATTATAACTGCTCTGGCAACGATAGAAAGCATTTTCTCATTAATATTTAAAGCAATCTGTTCTGTGGGTCTGCTCTCTGGTCTGTACAATACCCATTATCATACAAATGAGTCCTAAATCAGCCTAAGGAACTCTTTATTATTGAAATGCCAAGAGGTTTTCCTCTCCTTTCCATGGAACTGGTAGTCCTGGGGAGGCATAGAGTATAAAACTGGTTAAAGCCCTCAGATAGATGGCTAGAAGCCCTTGTGAGGTCACAGTATGCCTTCAAATACTGGATTTCCTAATACCTCCACAATTCTCAAATTGTTTAGTCAGTTATCCTTGAGTAAAACAATTCTCTAAATCTCTGGAAGCAAGTTCTCTAGGTTCTGGAAAATATAAGATCTCTTTTTGTTGCCTCTGAACTTGTCTCTTAACTCATACTACACAGTACATCTGTTCAATTCAATTTCTCAACATCACTTTAGTTGTTTGAATCTTAGGATGTAATGGTAATTTTTTAAATGGTACACTGAGTGAATTAGAACAATAGAATATGGCTCTAATAAGGACATTCTAAAATCTTTGTAGAAGATTGTCATCACATCAACACAGTCTTTCCTACTAAATCTCAAGTTGTGCCAATAATAGGCTACTGTTAGGTTCCTTTACTTCTTAAACAGATTCATTCAGTTATTTGGCATTTATTGAGTATGTAATGTGTTGTTCTTTTAAATTAGTTTTTCTGAAAGCAATTGATACATTGGAAACAATGCAAATGTTAAAATCATACACATTTGATAAAATTGGCATTTTTTGAATGTTTTATGCTGTGTCTTGGGGATTACAGTGAAGAGCAAAAACAGAATATGTGCCAGGAATCACAACTACAAAATCATTCAGAAAACATTTCTGACCTTTACTCCAAAGAGGCTCAAAGTCTGGTTGAGAAAGATAAGACAGGTAAACAAAAAAATGAAATAAAGTGGAATGATAGAAAGAGAGGGAGGATCAGTGGGTCCAGAAAAGGAAGAAATGGTCTAGTCAGAATTGGGTGGAGGAGGTTGTCAGAAAATGGTGTCTTTAACAGATAATAAGGTGGGAATGAGCAGAAGGTACAGAATGGGAAGAGAAAGGCATTTTTAACTTCTTCACTGTACTTAGCTCTATCTGAAATTATGTTTCTGTTTCCTTATTTATCATCTATTATTAACTGGCATTCCCCATTTCACTTTCTCATTCCCCTCCCATACTCTATGAAAGAGACCCTAGCTATCTTGTTAACTGTTCCATTTCTGCAGTATACAGTAAGTACTCAGTAATGTTACATAGAATGAATGACTTAAATAATCAGGCCCAAGCAAAGAAATGGTGTGAAGAAAGCCACCAGGGCCTGAAAAAGAGCCCTTGTATGTATCTAAATGGGTGAGGATACGTGTTTCCGTTAATAAAGGTGATTCTTCAATAAAATAAACATGGCAGAGATTAAAATGTACATTAAAAAATAATTCTTAGTGGAAGCCTATCTCATTTCCAACTCTACCTTTTAGAACATATAATGACCATCAATTACTCTTCTTCCATTTGTAACGAGAGCTACATTGTGCTAGTTTCCAAACTAGCTCAGCTTCTCACTGCCATTCTATTGGGAGCCATAGAAATCATATAGGTAAGCCGGGCTCGGTGGCTCAGCCTGTAATCCCGTGCCTTTGGGAGGCTAAAGTGAGTGGATCGCCTGAGCCCGCGGGTTCGAGACGCGCCTGGGCAACTTGGCGAGACCTCATCTCTACAATAAATCAAAACGAGCCAGGCATGGTAGCGCGCGCCTGTAGTTCCAGCAACTCAGAAGGCTGAGGCAAAAGGATTGCCGGAGCCCAGCAGGTTGAGGCTGCGGTGGCCGCGAGAGGCCACTGCACTCCAGTCTGGGTAACAGAGTGAGACTCCAATTCAAAAAAAAAAAAAAAATCATATAGGTAGGGGAAATTTAGTAGCTAAGTTGTAAAAATTCAGTAAGGATTTTGTATATGATTGTTTACATTAGAAATGTGCCTAATTTAGTCTGCTTACATACAGATCTCCATCTCTCTCTCTCTCTCTCCAGTATGTAGACATAAATATGTGTGTGTAATTGAGACATGTTTCTGCAATGATTGCACCTTCTATTGAAAGTTTATTAACACATTTCTGAAAACTCAACATAATTGATATTACTAATATTATAGTTTTCCTCTCAATATGGGTACTACCAACTGAATATTAGCGTTCCTCCAAAATTTATGTTGAAGCCTAATCCCCAGTGTGATGGTGTGAGGAGGTGGGACCTTTGGGAGGTAATTGGGTCGGGAAGATGGTGCTTTCATTAATGGGGTTAGTGTTCTTATAAGAAAAGACAAGAGAGAGTTTGCTCCTCTCTGCTCTTTCTGCCCTGTCAAGATACAAGAAGGTAGCCATCTGCAAATCAGAAAGATGGCCTTCACCAGGAACCAGATTTTCCAGGGCCCTGATCTTGGATTTCTCAGCCTCCAGAGGTGTGTGAAATAAATATTTGTTGTTTAAGTCATCTAGTGGTATATTTGTTATATTAGTCTGAACTGATCAACAGAGTTGGTCAGTTACTTTTTCCTCTATGACCATACTAAGTCAGTGGCTAATTTTTTGGCCAATGCATATTTTCACTTATCCAGCACCAGGTGGAATGGTGAGAGCAAATGGGTAAAATGCTATTACCTATTGCCACCGCTGGTAATACAAGACAAAACCTTCTCCAATTCATAGTAGGTCTGTAGTACCTTCTTATTTTTATATATATATTGAAAAGACTATCATATCATTCTCATCAAGAAAGGATTGATTGAAATCCCGAAGTTTTACCACTATGGTGTTAACTATGAACAACATGACTATATAAATGTTATATAAAACATCTTGTACAGTGTGGGAACAAATGGCT